AACCCTAATTTTCTGGGTTCTGCACCCTATATAAAGAACTTATGGCTCTATGTGGCCACTCTCATCGTCTTTACAGTCCAGAAGTAAACCCTAATCAAGCTAAACTTCCATATTGAGTATGTGTGAGGTGAAGTGTGTGTGTTTAGTGCACTTCTCAGAGAACTCGAAGATTAAAGATCTTGGAGCTAAAAAGAGCTTATAGATCCAACATCTACTAAGTTGTAGCAACCATTTGAAGGTAAAGAGTTGTTACCTTGATCATTCTCTTACTAGATCTCTCCATTCAAGAGTTTAGGTTTCCTTCTAGCCCACTTGGCACCCATTTTTGGAATTTGGGCAGGAGTTGAAGTTGTAACTTCAGATCTGGACTCCTTTAGGCCCCTATAGTCATAAAGTTATCAACTTTATCAAGCTTTGTCCCTTCTCTGTACCCTAAATCTATTATCAAGCTTGGTTTTAGCATTTTAGTCTCTTGAAGCCTTGCATACACGTAAAGTTGGCAACTTGACATGGTAACCACACTCTTGGAGACTAGGTCTACAGTTTGGAGTCTTGGTTTCGCTTAAAAACATATGAATGAGAAAAGAGGCATAATGAACTCGACGAGTTGCATAGCCAAATCGAGGAGTTGGGAAGGTTTACTCGCCATCTGGATTCTGAGTGAACTTGGCGAGTGGGTGAGATGACTCGGCGAGTTGATTAGGGTTTTTGGTCTCCTGGGCACTAAAGAACTCGACGAGTTACTCAGGTAACTCGGCGAGGTGACTCGAGTTTTTGGTTTTCTGGACTGTGAAGGAACTTGACGAGTGGCTAGATACACTCGACGAGTTAGGGTCAACGTGGAATGTTGACCTTAACTGTTATCCTTGACTGTTGACCTTGACTTTGACCATTTTTGAATGTTAGGGTATTTTTCTTATTTCGGGATTTTGACAAATTTGGTTACATGGTTGTTGTAGACAGTTGATTTAGAGCTACGAGTTGGGATTTATCTTATCGATTGAGCATTTCTGGAGAGGTGAGTCTCCTCACCATACCAATGGGTCTAAGGCACCAAGGCCGACCCATTATTTTCTATGGGATATGCTCGTTGACTATATATTGCTAATTGTATTTATTATACCCACATGAAAGACCTCGAGGGGGGGGGGGGTTCCCGAGGTACTTAGGTGTAAGACCTTGAAGGGTTTCCACGGTATCCTAGGTAAAGAGGCATTAGGCTAAGACCATGTGGGGGTTCCAATGGCACCCGGAATAAGACCCTGAAGGGTTTCTAGGGCATCCTTATATGTTTATATGCATGGCCTATGCGGTTTGTGTAGCTAATATAGCTAATATGGATTATATGATTATGTGGATTGTGTGGGGTATGCTCTAGGGAACTCACTAAGCATTATCTTACAGTTTGTTGGTTGTTTCAGGTACTTCGGAGTCTAAGGGTAAAGGCTTAACGTGATGGCGTGGCGTGCACTCTCCGACGTTTTGTTGGGACACTCTGGTGTTTTTGGCTAATTTATTTGATAGTATTGGTTTTTGATAAACAATGTGGTTGAAATACTATGTATTTTGAGAATGATTTTGTTAAATTAAAAATGAAATTTTTTATTGAAAAATTTAGTTTGTTACAGCGACAATAGAAAGAGGCTTAGCGGCAGCCACCATGGTTAGTTGCCATGGTGGTTCGCCTCACCTCCGGCTAAAATAACACGACATGAGACCACATCCCTCAGCCACCAACTAGTCTGTTGACGACGTTAGAGTTAACAAAAACTACGACCGAGGCTGACAGCGGCAGCAAGGACGTTCCCCATGTCTCACTCACCGGAAAGAACAAAGGAAATGAGAGATGGGTTGCAATTAAATTACCAAGAGCTTCCCGTTGCTTATGTCCCATGCATCAACGCCCACAACGTGTTCCACGATCTTCAGTGGTTCTTCCTGTAGCTCACGACGGTTGCAGCTTCGCCCTTGACTTCGCCGGCGATAGGAGTGAAAGCGGCGGCGTTCGGTGGCCATGTGTGACTATGAGGTGGCGACGGATGGAGTATGGGGGCATAAGGGTGGCGAAGTCTGGACTTGAACTAGGTTTATGCTATAGATGAAAGAAGGTGATGGGTTATACCCGTTCATTTGAAATCTTTACTCATATTTACACTTTCAGCCCCTCCTTCCCAATTCATTTCACCTTAATCCATACTTTACCAAACAACCCTCAACTTTCAAAATTCTTTACAAAATCAATCCTAGAATTACACTTTAACCCCCAAAAATCCAGATTATGACATTTAACTCCCCGAAACCAACACCCTGCTAAGTTATTACGGATTTAGAGCTACAATAAAATATAATATATATCTTGCGGTTTAGGGTTAATTATTTTTTTACTTATTTATTTTCTTTAAATGGAATGTTACATTAGTCTATTATGCAATTTTACTTTTTATTGAAACTAATGTTTTGTATTAATTTTAATTGAAAATCAATTTTGATTTCTTTAATTGTTTTTTTTATTTAAAATTATGATGTGATATGTAACACCCATAACATTTAAGCCAAATTTAAATTTTTCAAAAACATTTTTAAATCAATAGTTATTACCACTTTGTTTCCAAAATAGTCTATATCAGAGTTTTTCCCAAAAACCATAACAAAAGGTGAGGAGCTATACAATCACGCATTTGCGTTGCCGTGATCCCCCGATGTATCTGAAACAATAAATACTGTAAGCCCGAAAGCTTAGTGAGTTCCCCCAAAATACCCATACTCATAGAAATACACATAGAATCACAAACAACATACTATGCATCCAGTCAACCATCGGGTTGGAATACCCCAGGCCCACAACCAACAGGTTGGAATGCCCACATACTATAGGTCCAATCATCCTCGAGATGGAATACCCCAGGCCCACAACCGACAGGTTGGAATGTTCACATACTATGAGTCCGATCATCCTCAGGATGGAATACTCACAGCCCACAACCAACAGGTTGGAATGCCTAGGTCTACTGGCTTTCGCAAAAAGCAGATGAGCCCCAACTGCCAAACAAATATATGCATATATATATATATATGTATATATATGTATATATACATAACAAATAATCACATAACAGTCTATAGACAACAACTGATCTAATGGATCATACCACATAACACATAATACCATTTTATCTACCAGGATACCGATCTAATAGATCATAGTACATACTACATAATATTATCCTACCCTCTAGGATACTGATCTAACAGATCATACTAGCATAACACAACCATATGACAATCCAAAGGGCCGACCTTGGTGCCTTAGACACTTGAGTATAATGAGGATAACTCACCTTGCAACCATCGATTGGAAATAGAAAGCTCAACTCTCGAATCACCGCCACGAACTCCACCACCTATACCCAAACACATCATAAGGTTCATAAATTCCCAGATACCCCGTAAGTCAACTGGTCAATCCTTGGTCAACGTCAAAGTCAAGGTCAAGGTCAACTTCCCGGGTCAACAATCCATGTTGACCTGGACTCATCGACTATATCCAACCATTCATCGAGTTCCCTGCATAACTCATCCGCTCGCCGAGTCACCAGAGTGACTCGTTGAGTTCCTAAGGCTCGCAGTCGAAACCCCTTGACCACTCGTCGAGTTTTCCCCCTGCAACTTGACAAGTTCACACACATCCAACGGTTGGTAAGAACCTTAATCGACTCGCCGAGTCCACGACAATCCTCATCGAACTCACCGACCTGTTCATCCAACTCGCCGAGTTCCGGACCATCTCCATATGACTCGCCGAGTTGACTATCCGACTCGCCGAGTCCCATTAATCCTTCATCCATACAGATGCTTTTTAAGCCATGCAAAGGTTCCAAACTACAGATCCAACCTTCCAATGCCTGCTTATCACGTACAGTTGCAAACTTTATGTGCATGCAAAGCTTTGAGGCACTTAAAATGATAAAAATAAGCTTGAAGTGAAGTTCAACACTTGAGGGGAGGCTCATAATCGACCAAACTACTATTTTTATGGATCTAGAGACCAAAGGGAGTCCAGATCTGACGTTGCATCTTCAGATCTTGGCTCGAACACCAAAATCCTTTCCTAAATCCCACCCAAAAGAGATTAAAAGAGAGACGAGCCAAAGAAACAACTTAATACCTTCTAGAGAGTGACAACTGATGAATCTCTTAGCTCCCCACGAGTTCCTAGCCTTGATTTCCTTGCTTCCCCAAGTGCTCCTTACCAAGATCCCTCTCTTCCTAGCTCTATTACACCAAAGAAACACACACACACGATTTAGGGTTTAAGAGTGCCAAGAAGATGTGAAGGGGAGGCCAAGGAAGGTCAATGATCCTTTAAATAGGGCACAATAGTCCGGGATTTAGGGTTTCATCTGCCAGCTCCATCTCGTCAAATTCCTTGGACTCGGCGAGTAGATCACTAAAACACGCGAACCAACCCGATGTTACTCGACGAGTAGGGCAGCCAACTCATCGAGTAGGCCTTGAAATCAATAAAATTCTCACATAGATAATACCTGGAAATTAGGGCGCTACAATTCTCCCCCACTTGAACTAGACT